ATAAAATAAAAAAAAAAAAAACTGGGGATGTAGCTTAGTGGTAGAGCACCTGTTCAGTCTCCAAGACCAAAATAAATAAATAGTATATCAAGTGTGTGGATATAAACTGTACCCTAAAAAACATCCACTTATCTTTTATTAAAGTCAGTTAGCTAGCTGGGTGTGGTGGTGTGTGCCTATTAACCCAATGACTCAGGAGGCCAAGGCAGCAGGGTCCCAAGTTAGAAACCAGCCTCAAATTGCAAGGCTCTAAGCAACTTAGCAAGACCCTGTCTCAAAAAGAACTGGAGATGTAACTTAGTGGTAGAGTACCAAGCACTACCAAAAACAAGTCAGTTGACTATAAACTTCTATTCAGTAATACTTCTTTCTTATATTTATTATTAAGTTTTAGGTGGACACAATATCTTTATTTTACATTTATGTGATGCTGAGGATCGAACCCAGTGCCTTGTGTATGCTAGGTGAGCACTCTACCACTGAGCCACCCCCCCAGCCCCTTCAGTAATACTTTTTAAGAATTGTCCCATGTGTTGAATGTACTTGGAAGTACAATAAAAACAGATACAGCTTATTAAAATCTGTTTTTTAGACTTGTTACTAATTTAGACCATTCCTCCTAATTACATTTTAAAAGTATTAAGAATATATTTTAAAAATAAGCATGATTCACTTGCATTTATATTTCACAAATCTTCTTATGATTCTACTTCTCATAGAATTTCAGACAACTTTCAACCCCAGTCATCTCTGATAGTACTATTTTTAACTAAAATGTGCCTTTTTTAATACATATAAGAGGATGTGAGGGGAAGGGGAAAAAAAGAGAGAGAGAGAAATGAGTTACGGTTGATGGGGTAGAGAGAGGTGAGGGGAGGGGAGGGGAGGGGAGCGGGGATAGGAAGAGGATAGGAAGGGCAGCAGAATACAACAGACACTAGTATGGCAGTATGTATAAACGTGGCTGTATAACCAATGTGATCCTGCAATCTGTACACATGGGAATAAGAATTTATACCCCATTTGAATCAAATGTATGATATATGATATGTCAAGATCAATGTAATATTTTGAGCAACTAATAAATTTCTGATAAAAAAGAAATACAATTGACAAACATATGAAAAAAATGTTTTAATATCTCTAGAAATTAGAGAAATGCAAACTAAGATTTCATCTCATTCTAGTCAGAATGGCAATTATCAAGAATATAAGCAATAACAGGTTTTGGCGAGAATGTGGGGGAAAAGGTAGAATTATACTTTGCTGATGGGACTGTAAATTGGTGCAACCACTCTGGAAAGCAGTATGGAGATTCTTCAGAAAACATGGAATGGAACCACTATTTGATCCAGGTATAAACATTAAAATGGCCAGTTAACTGAAAAAAAATGTGCCTTTTGTGTATAAATTTATTATAAGGAATAAAACGTCCAGTGAAATCCAAGGAGGATCTCCTTATGTAATTTAAGATATCTGTTTTTCCAAATGTAGAATATAGTATCTTAGACCTTGATCAACACTAAAATACTATGATCTATTTTTTCAAAATGAGAAAGTTTTTAATAATTATTTTAAAAAATGCTGGTCACTGAAGACACAAAGTATTCAAAAGCTCACCATAATACATAAAGCTACGGGTCAACTCTACATCTGTCCTGATAATTTAACTAGCCCCCCACTGATGAAAATTTAGCTTCCAATGTTTAACTACTATAGATAATTATATAAACATCTGAATATTTTCTAGAGAGAATTTTAATTTTTGTAGCAGGGATCGAACCCAGAGGAGCTTAAACAGAGCCACATCCCCAGACATTTTTATATTTACAGACAGGGTCCCAGTAAGCTAATTAGGGCCTTGCTAAATTGCTGAGACTGGCTTTGAACTTTTGATCGTACTGCCTCAGTCTCCTGAGCTGCTGGGATTACAGGTGTGAGCCATGGTGCCTGGAATTGTAGACAGAATTTTAAAATGAGGTTGAACTCTTAACTTCATATCTCTAAATATCCCTTTGGAAAGGCTTTGCCAATTTATAAACTGAATCACATGAAATTTTCAATATTTGTTCATTTTTGAACTACAAAAGGCAATTTTATATGGCCTAACTTAATACATTCCTATTATTTCCCTATACTCATGTTAGCAACTATCAAACCCTTAGAACAACACTTCTGAAGATCTTGGGATATTTTATGAGAAAGGGCGCTAGGAATTTTCATGAAGATAAAGGATGGGAGCCATGTACATGGAGGGTACTGTCAATGTCATTACGAATGACAACTAAATCTGCATACTGACACAGTGGGAGACACATGCCCTGCCTCTGTGACTGAATTGTGGCTTTGTCCCCTAACTGCACTTTTGGGCCTTCATGAGCAGGATAGAAAGTATCAGTTCTGACACTTTTATCTGTAAAATTTTCTCTTCAAACACTAAAGGGAGTAAGAAAACCAGGCTGCATTCCCCTCCTTTGTGCGTCCACCAGAAATTCTCCTATTCTTCTTCATATTTTTGAAGATATTTCATCTGGATGACAGTACGAATGCTGAACAAAGCTGAACCTCCAGAACCTATAAGCAATGCACACCTGAGGCAAGTCTGAAGCACTGAGGCTTGTTTCCATACAGCAGGGAAAATCTGAGTGAGTTAAATCTTCAGAAAGACCACTGAAATTCAAGGCATCCGATTCTGACATGCTTTCTAATTTTTCATGAGGCGTCTCCACTCCAAAATGTACAGGATCTGGTGGTAATGACCAAAACTTGTTTTTTTGTAATGCCAGGGATGATGTCCAAAAATTTTCAGAGTCCTTGTTCCTTTGTGCTGAATGATGGAAAGCCTCCTCAAAAAACAAAAGCAAACAAATAAAAAACATGAACACATATAATTTTGGTATCTATTAATATATGCAAATAAAAATGGGTTTCCCCTACCCTTCCTCATACTTGCAGCAAAGTTCACTGCCCTAAATGTTATAAAAGTGCCATTTAAGTTATTAGAAAATTTAAAAATTTAGTCTTAAGTATACCATGATAACTTGGTATGCTACTATCCCATAATTCCCTAAAGGTTATGACTTAGAAAGTGAAGGGATCTCTGTTACTTAATTAAAGGACCAACACTAAGCCCTCCTCACTTCCTTATGTCACATGGATTCTCTCAGGCACCGGTGATTGAAGATTTGGAGGCATCTTGGCATCCACCTCATTATCCACAGCTGAACCATTACCAAGTCCTGTCTGATTTTGCTTTAAAACTGTTTTTCCATCACCCATGTTTTCATTCCATCCCCTATGCTATCACTCTGATCCATATCCTGACATACTCATCTGCCAGAAGATGGGAGGAGGAAAGATATTCAGTCACTGAGTCCAAATTCTTCTACTTGACTTTCATGTACCGACATCACCTACCCAATATTCCCTCCAACTTTAGTCAGATCAGGCTCATTTTCCTGCAAATAGATAATGCTTTCTACCACTTTGGCAACTGGCCCTGGCCTTCACTTCTCTTAAAACCTTCATCTGTTTTTAAAAATCTTTGCTATGTTTTAAGTCTGTAACTCTCTCACAATTCATCCTACTGCCTTAGTCTTCACCATTGTTCCAAGGGTGTTAGTGTTTTTTATTGATAGATTACAATTGCCTTTTGGGAAGTCAACTTATGCCTTTATGTACAACCTACTATAGGCAGACCACTGTTTTCTGCACAGTAAATATTGATTGAATAAACCCTGCATTCCAGTGCCTTATTTCTACTAAATCCTCTCAATGTGCAGTCACTACTTATTTGCCTGGATGAATTATTTTGATGAATTGGTGAATTAATGATCAACTTAATGAAGATTCTGTTCAAACTTATGCTATCACTTAGTAAAATATAAAAACAGTAAGCCAGGAAGGTCACATAGGACTTGTGAAAGGTCCAACTTTATCCTCACTTCTTCTAAGGTCTTCCAAACAAATAGATACCGCCTGCGATATGGTGAGGGGGATCTGAAAAAACTATCTTGCTGTTTTCCAAATTCCAAAACCCATAAAGGCCTCTCTTCTTTTCTTGGTGAGTCGGTAACTTTCAAATACATAACTTTGTTCATGCCCGCTAGGTCGCTGCACAATCTGCCAGTTTCTTTCTTTTTTTTTTTTTTAAGTCAGGCCTACTTTTTCCATCTTCCACATCTGTCTTTAGCATATTTTTATTAGATTTTTAAAATACTTACTCAACTGTTTGGAGAGCTATTTCGCAGACACGCTAAAGCAGTTTAAAAGTAGATGATATGTCAAGAAACTCTTATTATAAAACTCTTTTTAATATTTTTCAGTCGTGTGACAAACCTAAACTTTTTAAAAGCACGTATTTCATTTTCACCTCAAAACAATGCACCAAACTTTGTGAGACACGTAAGTGTGCTCAATTCCATGATCCAGAGAATTTCTGGAACCCACGCTAAGAACTGCGATCTTCCTACCCCCACACTGGCCCTGAGGGAGGAAGAACCCCTGTCCACCTTTTCCCACCGAGGGCTTCTGCAAACAGGCAGCGGGCTCCAGGCGCGCTGGAACGTCCCTGTGTGACGTCCGCCCGCGCCAGCCACTCTCGGAGGGGAAGGGCACCGGCGCGCTGGACGCCTTCGGCGCGGGGTAGACCCCACTCAGTTCCAGAATGAGCGTGGACTACCACGGAAACAGCCTGTGAGCTAACTGGAGCGTCCTTCTACGAAAATAACCACAAAGTATCGGGAAGAAACGAAAAGCCCCAGGCTGAAAGCCGCAAAGCGGAATCAACCCCCTCCCCCGACAATGCAGTTTGTCCCTCTAGCGCACCGTCCCTAGCGAGCTCCCGGATCTCCGTATGGCACAGGGGCGGGACTTCCTGTGAGATCGGACTTCCGCCGGGGGCGGGGTTTCCCGGTCGGCTTCTGCAGGGTGCCAGAGCTCTGGGTCCTCGTGGTCGGAGCCGAGTGTGTGGGAGGGCTTCTGAACCGTTTGCGAGACGGGGTTCGCGGAGAGGCCGTTGGATTCGCCGCAGGTAAAACCGTTTCTGTGCCGTTCCCGCCCCGGCGCAGAGCGGAAGGCCTCCGGGGGTGTCGAGGGCTCGGTGCCTCCATCATGGACTACCGGCGGCTCCTGATGAGCCGGGTGGTCCCTGGGCAGTTCGACGACGCCGATTCCTCCGACAGGTGAGCGGCCGTAGAATACTCCCACTCTGTTCAGATTCTGCTCTCTCCTTGCTTGTAGTTCATAGGGTGTTTCAGCCGGCTTCTTCTGCATCCCGCTGAGTCTTCCTTATTTTAGGGCAGAGTTCAGTGAGTCATTTGTCAAAGACTGGGTCCCCTGGACGGTCAGCATAGCCGAAAAACAGAATGGGGGATAGCAACTGGCAGACGTAGGTGTTTGTACTGTAACTACATCCTCAGGTATTTATTGAGCACTTCCTGTGGGCCAGGTTTTTATCCTTGGCTGGAAATTGTCATGAACAAGACAAACCCAGGTCCACTGTGATGGAACTTGACGTGGAGAGGAGAACAGACCATTTGTAAACAATAAGATGATGATATGTATCATACAAGTTATTGAAATAGGTTAATACACTAATTAATGGTCAGGGAACGGTTACAGTCCACATTTAAATGACAAGGGGATATCATTCCACGCAGAGAGAACAAGTGCATAGGTCTCACGGGTGGAATCCCTCTTGGTTGTGAAAGGCAATGGAAGTGGTTGAGATAGAGAAACGGGAAGGGACCAGATCATGTAGAGCCTTACAAGTGATGGCAAGGAGTTAAGATATCTTTGAAACTCTTCTAAAAAGGCCAGAGGAGGGATTTTTGCAGGGGAATGATGTAATTTGATTTATGATTTGAAGGAAGTCATTTTGCGTGTAGAATATGGTCATGGGGAATAAGAATGGAACAGAGACCAGTTTGAAAAATCAGGTTCAAATAAGATGGGCACCAGAGCTAGAGTTTTAGAGATATGATTTGGAGATAGAAATGACAGGTTTATTGATAAATTGGATGTGGGTTCTAGGGAAGGAGCAGTGAAGAATCACTCCTACTCAGAAGGAAAATGAAACTGTTATTTTGAAATTCAAGAAAAGGATTCCTTTTTTTATGATAAGGATTTGTTACAATGTAGGTTTTAATTATTAATTGGGACATTAAAAAAATTTTTTTTTAGTTGTAGATGGACACAATATCTTTATTTATTTTCATGTGGTGCTAGGATTGAATTTGCGAGGCAAGCACTCTGCCACTGAGCCACGATCCCACCCCAATTGAGGCATTTTTCAATAAATAAACTTATACTATTTTCTGTGTGTCAGATCTAGTGTTATGTTAGGTGATAGGGGTGTGTTGGTAAACACTATTCTAATTGATGTAGACCTTGTATTCTGGCAAGGAAAACTGGTATTAAATAATTAGACAAATTATTTATATTAGAATTGATTTACTAGTATGGAGGAAAAATGGGTGAACGATAAGGAAGACTTCTTTGAGCAAGTGATAGATAGCAAGCTGATATGGGAAGGATGAATAAAAAAAATGAGAAGGGCTTTTCAGTCTTATGATTACAGATCAACATACAGAAGACCTTTTGGAAGAATTTAAGTGGGAAGAAGAAGCAAAGCAGCTTGCTGGTGAATAGATGATAGTAATGAGAATGCACTAGTTTATCGACCAAACCAGTTTATAATCCCAGCTACTCAGGAAGCTGAGGCAGGAGGATCACAAGTTCCAGGCCATCCTCAGCAACTCAGCAAGATTCTGTCTCAGAAAATAAAAAGGACAGCTGTATGCTTCTGTATGCGCCTGTAATTTTAGCAATTTGGGAGATGGAGGCAGGATAATGGCAAGTTCAAGGCCAGACTCAGCAGATTAGTGAGTCCCTCAGCAATTTAGTGAGACTTTGCCTCAAAAAAATAAAAACAAACAAAAAAACCCTGGGGATGTAGGTCAGTGGTAAAGTGTCCGTGGCTTCAGTCCCCTTTATCAGAATTAATAAATAAGGCTGAGAATGTAGCTCAGTGGTTGAGCAGCTTTGGATTCAATCCCCAGTACCATTTAAAAAAAATAAAAATTACCACCCACATGGGGTATTGTGAGGATAAAACCAGGAGTTCTTTTACTGGGGATGATTTTGCTACTCCCAGGGGACTTTTGGCAATCTCTAGAGAAATTTTTTTCTGTCAAGGATGGGTGGGGGTGGGGGTATGCATTAATATCAAGTGGTACATAGAGGACATTGATGCTGCTAAATATCCTGCCATGTACAAGACAGTCTGTCATGGCAAAGAATTACTTGACTGAGGTTGAGAGGCCCTGGAGCAAAGTTTAACTTTGACATGCCTCTTTAGGTTATTGATAACTGAAGGATTAATTTATAGATTAGTAGATTATATTTATGAAGTTCTACTAAATTATAGGTGTTGAAGGATTCTGTTCCTACCCAAGCCCATGGGTATTTGGATCTGTCAGAGCCATAGCTACTTAATAAATTGGGATTGGTATCTGAATTTACTTAAATTCATGTGTGACTATTTTAAAGTAGTGCATATTACTAGTTTGTCCATATGATTTCTGTCCGTATTCTCTACATGAAAGGTCAAAACTGGCAATACCTGTATTGAATTTCAGGCCTATAGACATGTTTTGTTTGGTATGCATTTTATTTTATAAAAATTGAATGTGACGTGAAAGATTTTACAGAAACATCTATATTTCTGGCTTCTCTTGAAAAACCAAAACAATCTAATAACACAGGTTCTGAATTCTCACATGGCTAAAGATGACCCTATTAGTTGTGCTGCTTTTACCCCTAGACTCTCTCTTTTGACAGTCCCTACTTCTATTGTCTTATATTCAGCCAACTTGACTCACATGTAGTCCCCATTCTTTCCCTTCATAAACAAGAGTGATTTGAAGTTCTTTGTGTCTCACTAGTCTTAATATAATATAGCTCCTTGTGTTGCAAAGTGGTATTGAGTTCAAAGTAAGACTGCTTTAGACTTATTCCCAAATTTTGCTAGAAAGATTTTTTTTCTAATCTTGGAGCAGCTCCATGAATGATTTTATAGTCAGGTCTGGTGCACTGATCAGAGTAAGTTAATTTAAAAGAGAAGGTAATGTAAATTCTAATCTCACTAAGGCAGGAGCAGGTTTATCACATGCTATACTCCTTCCCTAGTGGGACTTGGGTGTGGAGAATAAGCAATTGCAAAGAACTGAGACACAGGAGAAGTCAGTTTTGGGAAGATGGAACTTATTGGAGATATGTTGTGAGGAATGTTTCAGATTTATCAGCATTATTTAGTCTGTTATTTATTTATTTTTTTTTTAAAGAAAGAGAGAGATATTTTTTTTAATATTTATTTTTTAGTTTTCGGCGGACACAACATCTTTGTATGTGGTGCTGAGGATCAAACCCGGGCCGCACGCATGCCAGGCGAGTGCGCTACGGCTTGAGCCACATCCCCAGCCCCATTTAGTCTGTTATAAATAAATACATACGTGAATCCAGGTAGAGGATTTGTAAACATGCTAAAACATTGTTATTTCTAGTGAAAATGTAAATTTGAAGATAATCAAAGCGGAAGATGGCATTCTGTTTGAAGACTTTCAAAACAATGTGACTAAGAAGAGTGAAAGTGAGATAAAAGTTGAAGAGGAAGAAGAGGAGGACTATGATGATGACAGTGATTGGGATTGGGATGATGGAGTTGGAAAACTCACCAAGGGTTATGTCTGGAATGGAGGGAGTAACCCACAGGTATTTAAATGATTCTGTATAACTTTGTTTTTTGTTTTTTTTTTTTAATTGGGGCAGGTAACTAGGAAGTGAACCCAGAGATGCTTAAAAACTGAGACATATTCCCAGCCCTTCTTATTTTTATTTTGAGACAGAGTCTCACTAAGTTGCTTAGGGCCTCACTGCCTTATTGAGGCTGGCTTTGAATTTAAGATCCTCCTGCTGCAGTCTTCCAAGTCACTGGGATTACAGGCATGGGATACCATGCCTGGCTTCTGTTTGTCGTGTGTGTGTGTGTGTGTGTGTGTGTGTGTGTGTGTTTTGCTTGGGATTGGATTCAGGGCCTTATGCATACGAGGCAAGCACTTTACCAACTGAGCTATATCCCCAGCCTGTTTGTATTTTTTAAAAAGACTTTTTGTGGTTCTGGAATTGAATAACTGAAGGAGTTTTTTCAAGTTATATTGTCCTGTAGCCCCAGCCTTGATTGATTCTCATTCTGTATCTTTTCATATTTCTCATAGTTTCCTGAGTTTGGATTATTTCCATAATCAGAAAATGTTAAATTATTAAAGTGTCATAAGAGCTGGGTGATTTTAAGTTCCAGATCAGGGCAACTTGCCCCAAAATAAAAAATAAAAAGTGTTGGGATATAGCTCAATGTAAAGCATTTGCAGCATGTGTGAGTCCCTGGGCTCTATCTTCAGTACTTAAATAAGTAAATAAATAAATATGTAGTATCATAAGATTGTAAGCTTAAAAATGTGCATAAAAAAGCACATGAATAGGCAGTAATTATTAAGCAATAATGTTCAAACTTCTTAGTAAATTAAGAAATGTGGATTAAATATGTAGAGATACCAACTTCTCACCTATGAAACTGACAAAGACACAAAATACATAATCGATGGTCAGTTAATAGGTATAATTAACTAGTATATGATAAAAACTTTAAAAGCGTACAAATGTTTTGAGCAGCAGTTCTTCTAGGGGTGTGCCCAAACTTATTTAGAAGTCAGAGTCTCCAAGGTTGCTTGTGGGACAGGAACATTAGAAACAACCTCGATTAAGTTTACTCTGGGATACTATGCAGCCATAACATATATTGCAATGGAAGATTGTATTAATGAGGTTGAAATATATTCATGATCTACATGTGCAAAAAACAAGTTACTGAGGCATGTAGAGCTGACTTCTCAACTTTAAAGTACTAAATGAATATGTTAGGAGTTTTCAGATCCATAGATTAAAATGGTGTATTAAGGTTACTGAAAGAGATGAAGGGGAAAAGACTCAACATTATTCCTTTGGCTGTTAAAATAGTTCATATATCAGATTGCATTCATTTTTAAAATAACTGAAGAAATTTTATACTTACTGTGTTCTTGTCTTGGTAATCTTCTATTGATTCATTGATGAGTCTTTAAGCAGTTTGAACATTGACTGTGATGCCTTTTTTTTTTTTTTTATAACGAACGATCTTTTTTAAGAAAGCTAAAAAAGCAGTCTATACCCAAAGGACTTAAAAACAGCATACTAAAGGGACATAGCCACATCAATGTTTATAGCAGCACAATTCACAATAGCTAAACTGTGGTACCAACCTAGATGCCCTTCAATAGATGAATGGATAAAAAAAAATGTGGTATATATACACAATGGAATACTACTCAGCAATAAAAGAGAATAAAATCATGGCAGTTGCAGGTAAACGGATGGAGTTAGAGAAGATAATGTAGTTAGAGAAGATAATGCTAAATGAAGTTAGCCAATCCCAGAAAACCAAATGTCGAATGTTTTCTTTGATATAAGGAGGCTGGTTCATAGTGGGATAGGGAGTGGGAGCATGGGAGGAATAGACAACTCTAGATAGGGCAGGGGGGTGGGAGGGGAAGGGGGGGGGCATGGGTTAATTAATGATGGTGGAATGTGATGATCATTACAATTTATACAACCAGATATGAAAAATTGTGCTCTCTATATAATCTAATAAGAATTGTAATACATTCTGCTGTCATATATAAATTAAAAATTACATTAATAAATAAGTTAAAAAAAAGCTAAAAAAAAAGATTTGAAGTGTAAATGCTTAAATGTAAACAGTTGTCTTTATTTGCTGGGATTATAGCAATTAGAATTTTATCTATTTTTCCTAGGGGTGTCACTCAGTGTAGTGCCTAATATGCATGAGGCCCCTCAGTTCAATCCCTAGCACTGCAAAAATAAATAGTTTTACTTATGTTTTCTGCCATGTATTACGGTGTTATCATGTATCTACATGTATTATTTTAATTAAAATTTATTTTTAGCTGGGTGTGGTGGGGCACACCTGTAATCTCAGTGAGGAGATTGGAGGCTGATTCAAGAGAATCGCAAGTTCAAGGCTAGCCTTAGCAATTTAGCAAGGCCCTAAGCATCTTAGTCTCAAAAACAGATAGATGGATAGATTAAAAAAATAAAAGGATTGGGGGTGCAACTCAATGATAAATTGTCCTTGGACTGAATATCCAGTATCAAAAAATATATTTTTAAAGTTTAATAGAAAATTGTTTTTTAAGTTTTAATCAAGCTAGAAACGACCCAGTCTCCCATTTCGTCTAACATTATTGAATCAGTAATTATTAGGCCCTTTTTATCTTTGCTACATTCTCTTATTTATGAGTTTTAGATGTTGTCTCTACCTCTCTCTTTGTCATTAGTGAAGTTTATGTGCAGCACCAGTCAAGCCAAGCCTTGTAATTGGTTTTTCCCCTCTCTTAATATATTGGGCCTAGGGCTGCGTGTGGCGGCACACTCCTATAATCCCAGGGACTCCGGAGGCTTAAGCAGGAGGATCACAAGTTTGAGGCCAGCCTCAGCAATTTAGCAAGATCCTGTTTTAAAATAAAACATAATTTAAAAAAATAAAAAGAGATATCAGGCCCAAAATGAAATTCTTAGAAACAGTTTGTGGATAAATGTACATTCTCAAGTTTTAAACCTGCAAACCAACCGGTCAAGTTAGAAACATTCATTTTAATTAACTATTTATAATCATGAAGAATACATTATAGTGATATAAATAACAAGATTATGTGGACTTTGTTCTAGGCAGTAACTTGACCTATTTCAAATGTCTTTTTTTTTTTTTTAAATAGTTTTAAACTGATCTTAGGGGCACTTGCTCATAATCCCAGTGGTTCAGGAGGCTGAAGCAGGATTACAGATTCAAGGCCAGCCTGGACAACTTAGTGAGATCCTGTCTCACAATTAAATTCAGATTTTGTGTGTGTGTGTGCGCGCGCGCTGGGGATTAAACCCAGGGCCTTGTGAATGTGAGGCAGGCCCTCTACCAATTGAGCTATATCCCCAGCCCCACGATTAAATTCAAAAAGAGTTGGGGATGTACTCAGTGGTAGAGCTATTCTGGATTCAATCTCCAGTATTGAAAAAAAGTTTTGAGCAGATTTGATTGATATTTTTTTAAATTTTTAATTCTTTTTAAAATTATTTCCTCCCTATAATTATGTACTTTATTTTTTATTAGTGCATTATAATTAAATATAGTAGTAGGATGTGTTGTTACATATTTGGACAAGCACACAATATAACAGTCTAATTTGGTCAGTTTCTTCACAGTACTTCCTTTTTCCCTCCCCTCTCCCTCTTTTTCTAGTCTACTGGTCTCCCTTTATTTTCGGGAGAAACTCCCACCTTCCCCTCATTCACTTTTTTCTGTCTTCACATATAAGCCAAAGTGTATGGTCCTTGGCTTTATGTGTTTGGCTTATTTCAGTTAGCATGATATTCTCCATTTTCTTTGGCTTTCTGTGGGGAATGTTGCTAGGAGATGCTTCTGTAGCAGGTAAATTAGTCCTGAGATTTCCCCAAGCCAAGACATAATATTGTTGTAAACCCTGTTGCATCACTAAGTTTTATGGAGCACTCATGGGGCCATTGGGTCCTGCTCCACATTAATCTGTGGTGGCCCCAAGGGTTATATTTTCTTTTCCTAAATGTATTTCCTTATTAATGGTCTAATAGCCAACTATGAACAAAGGAAAAAAGCATGTGTTGATGAATCTTAGGTTTGTATTTTCAACTTGTGTCCTAGACTCTACATTTCTTTATTATAGGCAAATCGACAGATTTCCAACTACAGTTCAGCCAGAATGTCTACTCCAGCTGACAAAGTCTTACGGAAATTTGAAAATAAAATTAATCTAGGTGAGTTAATAAAATACCTTACCTTACTGGACTGTGAGGAAATTCATAAAGTATTATGCAGTCTTATTGAAATGAACATATTCAAGTGTTGCTAATTCAATAACACTACTTAAAATCAAAACATGTTAGTGATTTGAAGTCATGACTTTCTACTTTTTTAGTTTCATTGTGGGAATATGAAGTTCTTGTGTGTTCTGTGTTAGACTTTGTAGTAGGATCATCTCATAGTAGCATATTGAAAATACCATTTTGTTTTACTACACTTTTTATGAAAGAGTTAATTATTAAGTTGGTGAATGCAAGGAACCAATGCTGATTTGAACTACCACTTCTTTGTGTGCTCAGGGGATTGGTTGCTGGGGATTAAACCCAGGGTTGCCCTACCTCTGAGCTACATCCCCGGCTATTTTTTATTTTATTTTTGAGACAGAGTCTCAGTAAGTTGTTTAGTCTGGCCTCAAACTTGCGAACCTCTTGTCTTACCTGCTGAATGGCTGGGATTACGGACATGCGCCACCAAACCCAGCATCTTTCTCCTCTTGTAGATCCTTGACTCTTTAAAAACATATAACATGGTATCTCTCCTATAAATTCAATAAATGCTGAATCAATGAATATGAATATTAAAGGATCCTCATCACCATCAAGAACCTATAACTTTCTGGGGCGTAGTTTTGCATGCCTGTAATCCCAGAGGCTCGGGAGGCTGAGGCAGGAGAAAAAGTTTTTTAGAATTAAACTTGGAATTGTGGCAGTTATATTATCTATAATATGCAAAAATATTAATAAATGTCTGGAATTTAATATGCAGATACAGTATTTTTGAAGTATTTCTATATTTAGAATTTTATAGAATTCTGTCTCAAAAACTATAGCTATTGTGATAAAAGTGACAATGCTTATTATACAAGAAATAGTTTACTTTTGAAGACATTATATATTCTCGAAGTCTTTAAAATTTTAACATTAAATGTAATGTTGTTTAAAGACATTACATATTTTTTTTATTGTGTAGATCTAAGATCCTAACTATAATAAAATATTTAGAAAACAGAAGAGAAGGAAAAGAAATCTCTTATTCAGAGATTCTCTGATTAATGTCTTTTCCTCTTACATATTGTTTACATTATGGCTTTTTTGTATTTTTAGATAAGCTAAATGTTACTGATTCTGTCATAAATAAAGTCACCGAAAAATCTAGACAAAAGGAAGCAGATATGTAAGTAGTATTTTAATTATAAAATACGGGTGATAGGGAGAGATTCCAGATTAAGTAAAATAATTATTTTGCAAAGGATATTAAATTATATCCTTTTTTATCTCTGGCATAAATAAGGGTAGCCTATACCTTTGTAAATTGAAAATATCAAATGAGTCTTAAGAAATACATGGTAAATCTGTAATCTTGTGAAATTCACAAATGTACTCTCTTGAGGATAACAGTTTGAGAATAAATGTGTAAAAATGTTCCCTTTTTAGAATTTATTGAAAATTGTTTCCTTCCATGAAGTAATTTTAAAAATCCAAGGGAAGATTAAAAACAAAATCATGATATAATTGAGAACTATTATGGTTTGTACTTTTGTTCTCAAAGTCAATTAATTGTTTAAGCTCTATCTCTAATACGATCACTGATATGGGAAATAACTGATCTGTTACAACTAGCAATGTTAGAACTGAACTTAAAACCCCATTTTCCTGTGATATATTGCTTTAACCAAAAGGTCTCAGCTTTTTTGAGAGCCACTGTAGTTTTAACCTATTATTTCACCATCATGACTCTATTTGAATCTTTATTAGTGTGGGTTAGTGTTCTTGGCTGAGTTATTTAATATATGAGTTGAAACAAAATCAGTCTGCATTTGAAGACTATCTTGAAATGGAAAGATCTTGTGGCTTTGTAAAAAGATGTCTCTAAAGAGAAAACCTTATAAATAAAAGACTTAATTCTGTACTGTTCTAATTCAGAATTTGAAAGATAGTGTACTGTGTGTTTTGTCACTTTATATCTTAATCCAACTGCTCTTTTATTTCATGCTTCTGTATCACGGGGATTCTTTTTCATACTGCATATGTACTGCCCTTGAGTATTGAATCCCACATTTAGGAAAATAAAGGAAGTTTCTCTGAGTGAAGAATCTGCAATGAAATTTACCTAAAATCTCTTATGAGAAAAACTTAAGAATTTTCACAAAATGATGCACATACATTTAAAATCTTTATTTTGGCTTCTTTCACAGAATTTTGAGTGTATCAACTGTTCTTTTTTGTTTTCCATAGGTATCGCATCAAAGATAAAGCAGACAGAGCAACTGTAGAACAGGTATAATTTAAATGTGTTGCAAGCTCTTTTTTAAAAAGCCTTTCTTTCCTCTTTGAATTATAGTTTGCTTTCATCCTTCTTGCTTAATACTAATGTTACCTAAAATTACTCTCTTTATAGTTTTGAGATTGACATTTCGCTTTACAATAGGACCATTAGAGTCATCCTGCTGTGGCCTTGTGAAGCCACCATGTGATATTTTCCCCTTCTTAGAAATGAATTATCAGACTCTAGTTATCTATGTATAGGAATTTTATGAACTTTTCCTAGCAAATAGGTTGATTATCTGCCACAGAGCTAGGGGCATATGTGTGTGTGTGAGTGCAACTGTGCTTGTGTGGAGAAAGAAAGAGAGGTAATGCTTTCAAATTCTCATTAAAAATCTTTTTCTTTGATTAGAAATTATGTGTGTGTTATTCTTTCTTTGCAAGAAGGGAGGAAAATTAACCTCTAGCTTTCCCATATGCAGAGGGATATGATTGCATGTTAGTATTGGCCTATGCTTTCAATAAGAAATAAGTGATAAAAAAGACCAAAACGGGCTGGGGATGTGGCTCAAGCGGTAGTGCGCTCACCTGGCATGCGCGCGGCCCGGGTTCAATCCTCAGCACCACATACAAACAAAGATGTTGTGTCCGCCGAGAACTAAAAAATAAATATTAAAATTCTCTCTCTCTCTCTTTAAAAAAAAAAAACAAAACAAAAAGGACCAAAACATTGCTATTATTACCACCTTCCCGCCCCTCTCCATCCATACACAAATAGATTTTAGAATGGAAGTCTCTTTGCCCTCCAGGCTTGGTTTAAGACATATGCACCCCCTCCCATCATGCACATCAACCCCCAGGAGAGTAGCACCTCTCCTGATGATTCTGAGATCCAGAACCATTTGTGCAATCAAATAATTCCACCATTGGGAGGGAACAGGGTCTGGGTCTCTGTCTTCATTGACCTCTGGTTTATTATGTGTGATTTGTGTTTGTATTTAAAAACAAAGTATGGTCCAGCTCAGAGAGGTAAGGCAGGCTTAATTTTCAAAGACTGTAAAATAACTTTGAAAATCTTTTGCTTTTTTTCTTTCAAAATTAATTTTGAATGGTGGAGTATATAGCTTGAGTCTTAATTTGTCTTTTTTCTTATTTATTTATTTTTTTTGTTTCATGAGCCATTTGGTGTGTTGCTCCTTCCTTCCTGTGTCCCTTGTCTACCTACTAATTTTGCAGGTCTCATTTAGATTCCTATATACAGCCAATTTTTCCCTTTTCGTCTTTACCTGTGCAATAGAGAAAGAATGGAAATTAGTGCTCTTCACTTCTTCCCTGTCACTCTTCTGTCGGTGATAATGGTTGTATTTAGTCCTATAGTCTTCCAAGGTTGTGTTTTTTATATTAACCTTAAGTTTCTGGTGTGACCCCAGTCTCCTCATTAAAGTTTAGACCCTTAGACGTAGTTAGTGACGTTTGGCCAGTTTATACTCTCTCTCTGGCACTGAAAGTTCTGTTTGAGCCATAAGGACCCCTTGCTGGTGTCCCTTGACACTGTATAAACATATTGGGCTGCATCAGTGTCATAGATGGACAAAAACAGGCTGTAAATTCCTTACCGTCTGTTTGTTTAAGAGGACTTTAAAATTCGTTTTCAACAAGACTGACTGTTCTGACTCTGAAGGAGACCTTTACCCTGATTTACACAGTCTGCAGGGGTCTTCAGACTCTTAAAGGGCCAGTAAATACTGTAGGCAGCGCAGGTCACTTATAGTGTATATTGAATTGCCTTTAAAAGCAGCGCTTAAAAATGTAAAGACCATTTTTAGCTTTCAGGCTGTAGAAAAACAAGCTTTAGACAAGATTTGGCCCATAGGGCCTAGGATGCTGACCCCTGGTTTAGTATATGTGCTATGAAGTGAGCACTCCCCCTGGTTTAAAGTTGTCTTCCAATGTATACTGGATTTTGAAGTCTTATTGTAAGAAAAAGAATATTAAATATCTTAATGACTTTTTATATTGATTACATATTTAAATGGTAGTGTTTTAGATAATATTGGGTTAAATAAGATGTATTAAAATAATTTCACCTTTTTACTTTTAATGTGTAGTGACTAGAAAATTTTAAATTAGGTGATTTGCATTGCATTTCTCTTAGCTAATGTTGGTCTAGAGTCCATATTTTTTCCTCTCAGACTTGTTGGCTTTGGTTTCCATGACTTGATGGACTTCTTGGTTAGCTGCCTCTGGTTTGTTTTGCTGTCACCTCACTTTTCATATATAAATGACTAAAAATCAAAGTGAATTAAAATCCCATGATAGTGATTCTCCTTTACTTAGTCAGTCAGGATAACCTGGCTCTTCTGTTTATTCTCACATGTGTTAATGAGGAAGATTTGGAACCATCTTTCTAGATTTTGTGTTTTTTTGCATTTCTTTTTAGGTTTTGGATCCCAGAACAAGAATGATTTTATTCAAGATGTTGACTAGAGGAATCATATCAGAGATAAATGGCTGCATTAGCACAGGAAAAGAAGTGAGCTTTTCTTTGGATCACTGAATATTTTCATGTTAGTTTTCTTATTTCAAATAACAATGAAACTTCGGCACTTAATATGTGAATTGTGCCTTTAAAAAGAAAGGAAAAGGGGGCTGGAGGTGTAACTCAGTGGTAGAGTGCATGCCTAGCTTGTAGAAGGCCCTGGATTTGAACACAAAACACTGGTGGGGAAAAAGAAAGAAAAAAGGGTTAGGATAGTTTAATATAAATGTTTCTGAAACTGGCTTTGTTAGTAGTTATGGCTAAAAAGGAAATTGTATATGAAACTCTTTTCTCACTATAATTGCTATATTTTATCTTTCAATCTAGTTGTGCCCAGCAGTTTAGATGATCATATTATTGTGATATCCTGAGTCTTAATTTAAAAATTGCTAATAGGAACTGGGTGTGGTGGTACATGCCTGTAATCCTAGGTGCTTGAGAAGGGGAGGCTGGAGGATTACAAGTTCAAAGCCAGCCTCAGCCACTTGGCTAGGCACTAAGCAACTTAGTAAGAACCTATCTCAAAATAAAAAATAAAAAAGGCTGGGGATGTGGTTTAGTGATTAAATGCCTCTGGGTTCAATCCCTGGTTACCTACCCAGCCCCAATAAATTGCTAATAGAGATAGGGGCTTATAGTCTCATTTCAATGAGTTACTCGTTCTCATTATTTTCTTTATATATGTACATCAAAAAAGATAAACATGGTGTTTTTCAATTAGCAACTCATTGTGTGGGAATTACTAGTTGCAAGAATATCTCTTAATATTTTTCACATACTTGAGACTTAAAATTGTGAAATAATTTCTCACATATATTTAAATTGGATTTTACTGTGTACATAGTTATTAGCCACTTAACAGTGAGATATATTCTGAGAAATGTGGTGGTGTGAGAACTTTGTAGAGTGTACGGTATAAAACTAAGACAGCCATGACATCAGTAGGTAACAATCCATTTTGGGACCACTGAGGCATATGCAGCCTGGTGTTGACTAAATTTTTAATGTGGTATGTCACTGTATCTAGGAGATTTATGATGTTTCATGTTTTAATTCACATCTTTCTTGTGCATGTTATTTCACTTGACTTTTGAGGTTAGAGTCAAATAGATTGGAAAAGTAAAACACAGTAGTTATTTAACACTTTTTTGTTTTTGTTTTTGACTTTAAATAGGCCAATGTATACCATGCTAGCACAATAAATGGGGAAAGCAGAGCAATCAAGATTTATAAAACTTCTATCTTGGTGTTTAAAGATCGGGATAAGTATGTAAGCGGGGAATTCAGGTGAGCTTAAATTTATTTTCCCCAGTTTCTTTAATTTCTGGTTTTTAAAATATTGAAACAGAATAATGGAATGATTGAAATAACCAATAGTTTTTTTCCTCAAGATTTCGTCGTGGCTATTGTAAAGGAAACCCTAGGAAAATGGTGAAAACATGGGCAGAAAAAGAAATGAGGAACTTAATCAGGTAACTGGGATGTGTGTGTCAGCCTTTCTGCCAGCAGGTCTCAGTGTGGTTCTCCCCAAAGCAAAAGAAACAGATTTCTGGACAAATAGCAATTACCTGTTGTGTATTCTAAGAATGGGTTGAAGAAGCATTCTACCACAGTTCATATTCATTTATCAAAGCTAATCATTTGAAGAGCCTTGAGATCCTTATGCCTCAGCCTCCTGAGCCACTGGGATTACAGGCATGCGCCACCACACCCTGCTTGAAGAGCCTTGTAAGCTATATGAAAGCAATTAGAATTTGTACAAAGGAAGACAAAAGAGTTGTTACAGGATTTTAAACAGGGAAGTGACATAGTTGGTGATGATAATGTGTTCTCCTTAATAAGTTATTGATGTTTTAACAAATCTTGTGAAGTTCTCAACTATGTATCTGTTTCCTTTTTTGATTTTGTTCCAATTTTGGACACATTACCATAGTCTTTATTTTTTTGGTTTGTTTTTGAGACAAGTTCTCACTATTTAGCCCAAGGTGATCTGTCTCCTAGTTAAAGTAGTCCTATTCCTCAGTTTCCAGGTACCTGGGATATAGGTATGTGCCATCTTGCCCAGCTTTTATATTCTTTGTTTGCATTAATGAAGATAAAGAAATAGCACATAACTGAAATCACTAGGTAACAATCCATTTTGGGACCACTGAGGCAAATTTTGAAAAATTTCCCCCCTCTTTCTTTTCCAATGTCTTTTAACTTTTTATATGCTATATAAAGGTATTATACATTGGAAAATTTAAACATGTACTATTTGTTTTTGAAAGTCCTGTAATCTTCTTGTGTTCAACTAGCTCTTAGGTGAGAATCTAATGATTTATATTAAACATTTTTTAAATATTTAATTTTTAGTTGTAGGTGGACACAATGTCTTTATTTCATTTTTTTTAAAATGTGCTGAGATTTGAACCCAGTGTCTCACCTGTGCTAGGCTAGTACTCTCTCACTGAGCCACAACCCCAGCCCTGTATTAAACATTTTTAGGCTGATCAATTAAAAAGACAAATATAGATTTCTCTAATATATTTCATCAATTCTAAGTCTATAGGATATAATCGTTTAGTTGTCAGAGTTTTGTTGTTCTTGGTGGTACATAATGGTGCTACTTAAAATCATTGCTGTCTTAGAGTTTATGAAATACAGTTCTGAGGTCTGGATGTTATTTCCCAGCAGCAGTATTGATATTGTAGACTATAGCTGTTGTAGTTTGTTTAGATGCCTTTTCAGTATTTCAGTTTACATTTTTCTTGTTACAATGTCACAGGTTAAACACAGCAGAGATACCATGTCCAGAACCAATAATGCTAAGAAGTCATGTTCTTGTCATGGGTTTCATTGGTAAAGACGATATGTAAGTATACAGAAGGCCTTAGAATTTTATACCCAGAACTGAATTTTTTAAAATGCTTTAAATTATACAGAATATGAATATTTTCCATTTGAATAGTTCTTTCCTGAATCCTTTTCACTGTGTTAGGCATATGTGTTACCAGCTTACCTTTTGAAGTCTGAAGATGCTTCAGAAGAACAAAGTTAACTTGTTTTTGAGGGATGTTTTATTCAGTGCATGGGAAAAATATCTTTGGAGTGGAATATTTGTAGTGAGACTAACTGTCCCATGTACAATTCACATGATGAGTTGTAGAGAAGTATCAGTGTAATGTGAAGCAGGATATCTTAGTCTTGGTCATTTATCTTTGTTCATTTTATTTTTATCTGAGGCCTGCACCACTCTTGAAAAATGTCCAGTTATCAGAATCTAAGGCTCGGGAGTTGTATCTGCAGGTTATTCAATACATGAGAAGAATGTATCAGGATGCCAGACTTGTCCATGCAGATCTCAGTGAATTTAACATGCTGTGAGTATGTTTTGTCTCTTAGGACAACCCCCCCCCCCCCCCCCGCCAAAGTCATTTCATGTTCTTTGAAACAATAGACAAAGCCCAATCCCAGAAGTCATACTGAATTATAAAGTTGTAAAGTTGGCTTTCACGTGGTAACAGTTACCATGTTGTCCTGCCTTCAGTGGCCTTAGTCACAGAACCAGATCATTTTAGAGTTAATGGGCTTTGGAAATTTTCTGTTTTTCTCTCTCGTTACTCAAGCCCCTTCTTATCTATCTTGATTATTTTATGAATGATTTCCCTTACTCTTAAGAATAGAATTTTTTAAAAATATTTTTTAGTTGCTGATAGATCTTTATTTTTTAATACGTGGTGCTGAGAATTGAACCCAGTGCCTCACACATATCAGGCACGTGCTCTACCACTGAGCCCCAGCCCCAGCCCCAAGAACAGAATTATTAAAACAGAAAATAGTTAAGTAGTAGTACCCCAGAGCTGCTATATCTCTGGCCCACAAGGTACCATGGTGGAGATGTGTACATCATTGATGTTTCTCAGTCTGTGGAGCATGACCACCCACATGCCTTGGAGTTCTTGAGGAAAGACTGTGCCAATGTCAATGGTGAGTAGAAAGGGTAATTTGTGTGTGTGTGTGTGTGTGTGTGTGTGTGTGTGTATGTTTTGTACTTGAACTGGTGGCATAAAATCTTGTTCATTGCAGTGATATGTAAACCATTTGCTGAGAGACAGTAGATTTTTTTTATCCTTGTTTCTCTATACAGTAGTTGGGTTTGATAACTTCCCTTATATGTCTATCATTAACATTTTTCCTTCCAACAGATTTCTTCTTGAAGCATGCCGTTGCTATCATGACTGTGCGGGAGCTCTTTGAATTTATCACAGACCCTTCCATTACACCTGAGAATATGGATGATTATCTCTCAAAGGTAAACTGGGGTGAGAAGGGGGAAAAGTTGAAAATAGCAGTAGTAATTTACATTTGTATGACACTTCTGAGGAACTTGGATTACTAAGTATAATTTATTCATTTTGACGGCCTCCTGACTTCCCAGATTGGGAATTAAAAACATAGCAAAACACCCAATGGTAAATTCAAGTTTCTTGACTCTAATTGTCTGACAGGATTACATAGATTATCAGCCTTCTTGAGTAGTTAGTAAGAAACCTGTTAGGTTTTTTGTCATTGATACTTTTCCATTATTTCTGAAAGACCTTTCTGAATCTTAGAATTATTTAAAATTGTAATAAGGTACACATAAAGTTTACTATTTTAGCCACTTTTAAGTGTAGATTTCAGTGGCATTAACTGCATACATATATATCATTGTGCAGATGTTGCCATCCATCTTCAGAACTTTTTTATCCACAAACAATTCTCCTGCTTCTAGCAGCCACCATTCTGCTTCTTGTCTTGTGACTTTGGGCTGCTTTTGTAAAATCATAAGATGCTTGTCTTCCTGTGACTGGTTTATTTAACTTAGCATAGTGTCCTTCAGATTCATCCATGTTGTAGCATATGACAGGATTTCTTTCCCTGTGAAGGTACATCAAATTTTGTATATCTATTCATCTGTCTTGAGTTGCTTCCACCTTTTGGCTATTTGTGAATATTGCTGCTGTGAACATGAGTATACAAATATGTCTTCAAGACCCTGCTTTTTCCCAGGTCTGGTGACTCACGCCTGTAATGCCAGGGGCTGAGAAGGCTGAAGCAGGAGGATTGTGAGTTCAAAGCTAGCCTCAGCAAAAGCAAGGCACTAAGCAACTCAGTGAGACCCTGTTTCTAAATAAAATACAAAGTAGGGCTGGGGATGTGGCTCAGTGGTCAAGTGCCCCTGAGTTCAGTCACTGGAAGACACACACACAAAAGACTGTGCTTTTCATTCTTGTGTACGCATAGCCACAAGTAGAATTTCTAGATTTTATGATAATTTTATTTTTAAGTTTTCAGGGAACAACCATACTTTTTTACTGTAGCAACGGTACTTGTTTTGCCTTTCCACCAAGAGTGTACAGGTCCCAGTTTCTCTACATCCTCACCAACATTTATTATTTTTTTACTTTTTTGGTAGTAGCTATCCAAATGGATGTGAAATGGCATCTCAGGATTGTTTTGGATTACATTTCCCTAATGATTAGTGATATTGCACATCTTTTCATATGTTTGTTGCCCATTTGTTTATCTTCTTTGGAAAAATGTCTGTTCAAGTTCTTTGCCCACTTTTTGCTGGTGAGTTGTAAAGGTGGTGTTTTACATTCTGGTTTTTGCAGATATTTTTCCCATTCCATGGGTTGCCTTTTCACTTAATTGCATCCTTCGATACACAGGAGTTTTTAATTTTGATGTGATCCAGTTGGTTTTTATATTTGTTACGTTGAATCACAGGATTTTGAATACATGGCACATATATCCCTACACAGGTTTTCAGGTTTGATCCTACTTTCTCACATCCTCCTCTTCCCCAGGGTGCCTTCTCATTGTTCCCTTTGCTCACCTTGTTCTGCCTAGTTCAGGATGCTTTCTGGTGCAGAAATTCAGTAGAAATCATTGTTTTCATAGGTATATTTTCATATTATGTGACTGTAATAGAAGTAGTCACTGCTTTACTTCTTCCTATACTAATTTTTTTCTTTTTAATTCTTTCACCCTCTACTAGATTATAAACTCTTAAGGTACAGGAGTTTTATTTGTGTATTTCCAGCACCAGATGGGTACATGACACACAGTAGGTGACCACATATGTTAATTGAATAAATAACTTATCACATTTTTATTCTTAAATTCTTTAATTCAATACTGATTTTAGTGTCTGTACTTAAAAAAAAAAAAGAAAGAAAAGAAAATCATACTGCCATGGTGAGAATCTGAGAATAGATCTTTAGTTTTATAAGCCAAGAACCTTATAGCATCTTTATCACCTTAGTTTCAGCAGTTGTTTGCTCAAAGAGCTTTCTTTGGTGGCTATACTACAGCATCATGTTTAGCCATATTGCAGCTTTCTTGTATGACAGACTTCTCCAGAACTAAGGAATGATTCCCTTTTTTTTTTCTTTTCTTTTTTTTTGGGGGGGGGGGTGGCTGTGTTACCCATTCTGGCCTTGCTACTGGACTCAAGATACTCTCCTGCCTTGCCTCCTGAGTAGCCTGCCACCATACCCAGCTGGTTCTTTCATTCTTTAGGTTTCAGTTTTCCTGTAGTAAATATTTTTGTACTCAAAAATTATTACAAGTAGTAGTCCTTTTGCTTTTGTTTTTTTGCAGTGCTGGGGATGTAGCCTGAGGCTTCATGCATGCTAAACAAGTACACTACACCCAAGCTACAACCCCACCCCCCATTAGTATTACTTTTGAAGAAGAGGATTTAGGGATTCTCTAAAGCTAGGAGAGTATATTCTGTTTTTTTGAGGGTTGATGACAACTTTTTTAGTGTCTGTGGTAGAGAGAGAGCCTGCACCATTAGGTCACTAAGCACTTTGATAACTGTGGACAGGTAACACCTATAAAGATCAGAACAAGTTTTTACTAAATCAGAAATAGCCAAACTTGGTAGTGCACAGCTGTAATGCCAGTGACTTGAGAGGCTAAAGCAGAAGGATGACAAGTTTGAAGGCAGCCTTGGTAATTTATTGAGACCCTAGCTCTAAAAACTTTTTAAGAAGAGCTGGGAATGTGGCTCCCAACTCTGAGCACCCCTGAGTTTAATCTTCAACACCACCAAACACAAAAACAAATCCCCCATAGAAATGGATGCATTGTCTCTAGGTTGAACGTAAAGAAAAATTATTTTTGTTTTCTTTCAAAGGCCATGGAAGTAGCATCTCAAAGGACCAAGGAAGAAAGGTCTAACCAAGATCATGTGGATGAAGAGGTAGGACTTATTATATGTTAATAGCATTAGGAAATTCTTGTATTTTGAGGGTTTTTTTTTTGTTTGTTTGTTTGTTTTTGTAGGAGGCATGTGTTTTGTTTTGTTTTTTAATCAACTTGATTTTTTCTTTTTACTTTTTGTGGCAATAGGAAATTAAACACAGGGGTGCTCTACCATTGAGCTATATCCCCAGTCTTTTTGATTTTTTTATTCATTTTGAGACAGATTCTCACTAAATTGAGGACTTGTGATCACAACTTGGACTTGTGATCCTCCTGCCTCATCCTCTCAACTCTCTGAGATTAAAGCCTGGCCAATCATGAACTTGATTTTAGTGTCCACTCTTTTGTTGTTGTTCTGGGTATTGAACCCAGGAATGAACATGGTTTTAATAGATACATGGCACATAATTCAGCTGAACTGAGTCTTATAATTTATATTACATTATATTGTTCCACTTGACAACCTATGTTATTAGCTCGTTGTCTTAGGTGGAGAAAACTTTTTGAAGTAAAAGTCTGTTTTTAGTTTGCAAATATAAATTTTTAAGTGACTTAAATATTAATTTCATAAATACTATAAATTTTAAGTATTTATGATAAATATTATTTTAGTCTAAGAAGTCAGGATATTTTTTCTTTTGTTATACTTCTCTATTTGTTAATGAAAATCACTTCACCAACACCCATTAAAAATAGGCTCCCCCCCCAAAAAAAAGCAAATGTTTTTTCAAAGAGGATACATAGGTGGCAAACAAAACAATACATGCCCAATATTATGAGATATCAGAAACATGCAATTAAAACTACAGTACAGTATTTCTGACTTCTAAACCAATTATGGTTCACTGCTGGCTCCAGTCATGATTGGTGTCAGGGCACATGGCTTTTTGTAAAGCCCTGTGAACATTTTCTACTCTGCATGCTGGGTATTATAAAGTGACATCCTCTGGGAACAATAGAGCAGATTTTAATTCCATTCACCCAATCATAGAAACTTGTCCTAACAGCTGGCCTCTCCTCAGGATGACTTAAAGTCTCATAGAAAAGTGTGAGTATCCAAGCCACAAATCAAGGCAAAATCCCTGCATTGTTTTTCGTGTTGTCTTGGACAGCAATAAAAATCAGATCAGAATTGAAATGAGAACTCATTTTACTGTCCTTGAAGAGGCACACAAAGTTGGTACACCCATGAAAGCTATCCATCCTTTCAGATAAATAGTGCAGTGTTTTCTGGCCTCCCCACATAGTAAGCTAAACCTGAAGATTAAAGGTAGCTTTAACAATAAGGTATGTATTAGCACACAATCAAGAACAATGCGAGGCAGGCAGTTACCAGTTGGTGTTCAGAAGGCTGGAAAAATTAACCCAACTGTCATGTGAGACTGATGAGACAACTTCTCCATGAAGAAAGTAAGTCATTCCTGGAAGCCTCCAGCAGACTGCAGAGTAGGTTATATGAATGCTTTAATTAGTCAGAAAAGGAAAAGAATTCTCTTTGAAAGGCCAGATTATTTGACTTCCTTCAGGGAGTAAGCATTGTGCATGGTGGTAGAGGAAGATCTCTTCTACCAGAGAAACCAGACCCCAGTCAGTCTTGAGTGTGCATGGCAGCTCCTGTAAAGCCTCACCCATGTCTGAACACATGGCATCTCACCATCTCGCCAGTGGGTATTAGGAAGTATGATGTTTAACTGTAGGCAGATGGTTCCTTCACAAAGCCTCTCTGAAAAAGAGGGCATTCCGTACAGGTCTAAGGCCTTTATCAAGTGTGGACTTTCAGGAGTTGTTGAACCTTGAGCTGAAGACTTCTCTATATTTATTGCTTTCATGAGGCCCCTTCATGACATTTTTGGTGGTGAATGAGGCTGGAGCATTGGCTAAAGGAATTCCCACTTGTGTCACATCCTGAGGCCTAATTCTTGCGGGTCTTAATGTGATAGTTGAATATGAGGTACCCTCTCTTCAGCAGTTCTAAACCTGTTTTCACTGTAGAAGCTGGGTAGGTGATCTTCCATGTAAGAACATGTTCCTTTGTAAGGCACAGCCAGGTAGTGCTTCTAACTATAGTTCATCCCTTTCCTTCCTACTCAGAAGAGCTGTTTGGGATGCAACAAGAGAAATGTTATTTGAAGGATAACCTTGAATCAGCTATAATTCTTCCTTAAGATAAATCATATTCAAACTGTAGTGTTTTTTCATTAGTAACAAATTTTGGCACATCACATGGCAGATGCAACACCGGTGGGTTTTTTTTTTTTTTTTTTTTTTAAAGAGAGAGAGAGAGAGAATTTTAATATTTATTTTTTTAGTTTTTGACGGACACAACATCTTTGTATGTGGTGCTGAAGATCGAACCCAGGCCGCACGCATGCCAGGCGAGTGCTCTACCGCTTGAGCCACATCCCCAGCCCAACACCAGTGTTTTTAGACAGCATGTCTGAGAATAGATTCCTCCATGACTTGATGGTGATAAGGATGCTGAGTGAATGTGAGAAGTATATGAATAATAGTTTCTATTTTGCTTATCTCCTCTCTTAGGTGTTCAAGCGAGCATATATTCCTAGAACCTTGAATGAAGTAAAAAATTATGAGAGGGATATGGATATAATGATGAAGCTGAAGGAAGAGGACATGGCCATGAACGCTCAACAGGACAATGTGAGCAGTGTGGTTTGTATATAGCAAGTAGGTCTAAAGCAGGTCTAAAGAAGAAGGGGACTATCCCAAACAGATTGAGTTCCTCTAATCTTGAATGTTTTTGAACATGTCTTCTCTACATATTGGATATAAAGGGAATTTGATTGATAATTTGAGAGGGAGTGACACTTTTGAATGAGTCCAACAGATTATAATTAGAAAAAAAAGAATCATATAGAAGTCTAGGCTATGAAAGGTTATTAGATCATTAACATATATATTTCCTTAACATATTTTAGAAAAATTTTTTTACTAAAGAATCAAAATAGTAAATATTTTAAGTTTTGCCAGCTAAGAAGCAAAATATATGTAGGTCTTTTTATAACAAGGGAAAATAAATGGTTCCCGGATTTTTATTTGTGATATTAAAAACACTTTAATAAGAATTAAATCCAGCTTTTTTTTACTATAGATCTACTAATGAAAGAAGAATGGAATTGAGGGGAAAAGATAACATTTCACTTAATGGGGTTCAAATCAAAGTTAGTATTTGCTGTTGTCAGGTTGATTGCAAATATTTATCTCTCACAACTACCAGATAACTGGTTGGATTTGACCTCTGGGCTTGAGATACCTGGTGGATAAGAATATTACCCATGTTACTCATGTAATAAACTTTCTGTGTTGCTATGAGGTAAATTTTAAGTACCTTTTTATTATCACAAAAGATACCATTTAGTCCATGGTGTTTAGTAGGGCAATATGTGTGTGTGTGTATATATATATATATCACTGTCTGGTTTTATGTTGATTCCTTTTTTTTATTCCTTTTGGTTGTAAGATTCTATATCAAACTGTCACTGGATTGAAGAAAGATTTGTCAGGAGTTCAGAAGGTATGGAGAACATATGTTACTGTTTGTTTTTGTGAAAAATCTTTTAAAGGATATAAAACTTAAAGTAATATAAAAACTTTTAAAATGGCCTATTTAATGAAATAATTTTCGTCTGTAGACATTTTCAGAAATGATTTTTTTTGTGATATTTATAACCGTAATACTAAAATTTGGATATTTTTAATATTTTCATTCTCTCCTTAAATTGTTTTGTTGTTCTAGGAGAAGCATTTATCTTTTTTTTGTACCCTGTTCTTCATTTGTGAGGTTATTAATGATAGCCAAATGCTTCTGGATATTTTTTACAGTAACTTAAAAAACTGTGGAAAGTGTTTATAAGTATGTAATTTGCTGAAGAGCAGTCTCATGAGTTCAGCAGGCTTATTATGCTGGATTCCTGTAGTGCTCTTTTTATTTTGCATTTTCGAAGGGTAGGGATTAAGTAATACTAATTTAGAGAGTAATAAAGGCAGGGATTTGTTTGTTTTCTAATATTGGGGATTGAGCCCATGGGTGCCTAAGCACTGAGCTGCATTCTGAGGCCTTTTGGTGTTTTTATTTTTAGACAGGGTCTCATTGAGTTGCTCAGACTGGTCTTGACTCTGTCCCCTCCGCCCCCCATTTCCTTACATAAAGACTTCAGTGGAAGGATCATAGTGCACTTTTTGAAAATTGATTGTCCTGTGAGAAGAATTGAATTGGAGGAATTCCAGTATTTTCTGTTTCCGAGATAAATGTACCAGATGCTATGGGAAAGTTGTATTTTAAATTCCAAAGCATGAAGATTTTGCTTGATAAAACTTGCTAAAAAATCTTTTTGTATGATTACCTTTTGATAAAGGAAACCTTGCTCTTTTGGGAGCGGGTGGTAATGGGATTAAGCCCAGGATACTCTACCACTGAGCTACATCCCCAGCCCTTATTATTTGTTTTAATTTTTGAGATAGGGTCTCACTAAGTTGCTTAGGACCTCGCTAAATTGCTGAAGCTGGCCTTGAATTTTGAATTCTCCTGCCCCAGCCTCCAAGTTGCTGGGATTGTGTCAGGATACTTGGCAAAAAACCTCACTCTTAAGAATTGCTCCCTATTAGAGAAAGAGAAAAAAAACCAAAATAATAAAATTAGAGTTGATAAAGGAGAAATAACCACAGACATCACAGAAATCCAGCAGATCATTAGGTACTATTTTTGAAAACTCATACTCTAATTAATTGGAAAATCTAGAAGAAACGATACATTTCCAGATAAATACAGTCTGCCAAAACTGAATCGAGAGGACATAGAAAACCTGAACAACCCAGTAACTTGTAATGAGATAGGAGCAGTAATTAAAAACCTTCCAACAAAGAAAATCCCAGAACCACATGGATTCTCAGCTGAATTCTACCAAACCTTTAAAGAAGAATTAATGCCAGTATGCCTCAAATTATTCCGTGAAACATTAGGGAATGGAACACTTTCAAATTCATTTTATGAAGGCACTATCACACTCATACCAAAACCATATAAAGATACATCAAGGAAAAAAAAATCTATAGACCGATAACTTAATCAGATATTACCAAATCTCATTCAACAGCATATTAAAAAGATTGTACACCATGACCAAGTTGGTTTTACTCTAGAGATAGAAGGATGGTTTAATATACACAAATCAATAAACGTAATTCATCACATAACTAATTCTTAGTTATCTCAATAGATGCAGAGGCCTTTGACAAAATTCAGCATCCATTCATGATAAAAACGTTGAAAAAATCAGGGATAGAACCTACCTAAACATCATAAAGGCTATATATGGAAAAACTCAAAGGCCAGCCTCATAGTAAGTAGGAAAAAACTGAAAACATTTTCTTTAAAATCTGCTACAATACAAGGATGTCTACTCTTACCAGTTCTATTTAATATGGTGCTGGAAATTCTAGCCAGAGCAATTAGGCAAAAGAAGAACATAAAAGTAATAAAGATAGGAAAGGATGAAGTCAAATTATCACTGTTGGCAGATAATATGTTATTCTATACCTAGAAGATTCAGAAAATTTTGATGTAGTTAATAAACAAATTTGGCAAAGTAGGAGGTTAGAAAATCAACATATAAAAATCAATAGATTTCTTATTAAAACAAATCTGTTGAGAAAGAAGTCAGGAAAAAAATCCATTCACAATAGCCTCAAAAAGAAAAGGGGGGGGGGGGGATAAATTTAGGCAAGGAGGTGAAAGTCCTCTACAATGAAAACTATAGAACATTGAAGGAGGAAATTCAGGACCTCAGAAGATGGAAGGACCTCCCATGTTCATGAGTAGGCAGAGTTAATACTGTTAAAAAAACAAAAGCAGTATACAGATTCAATGCAAGCCCCATCAAAATACCAATATCATTCTTCATAGAAGTAGGGAAAAACAGTCTTAAAATTTATTTGGAAGAATAAAAGACCCAGAATAGCCAAAGCAATTCTTTTTTTTTTAAATATTATTTTTAGTTGTAAATGGACACAATACCCTTATTTTATTTATTTATTTTTATGTGGTGCCAGGGATCCAACCCAATGCCTCACACATGGTAAGCAAGCACTCTCCCACTGAGCCACAACCCCCGCCCTAGCCAAAGCAGTTCTAAGCCAAAAAAGCAGTGCTGGAGGGGTCACAATGTCTGGCTTCTAGTTACACTACAGAGCTAGAGTAACAAAAACTGAATGGTATTGGCAAAAAAACTGACACATAGAACAGTGGTATAGAAGACACAGACAAACATTGGAATAAAGACAGCCTTTTTAACAAGTGGTGGTGGGACAACTGGTTATCCATATGTAGAAGAATGAAATTTCACTCTGTGCAAAAACCACTTAAAATGGATCAAAGACCTTAGAATTAAACCAGAAACTATTCAACTCCTAGAAAAAAAATGTAGGGTCAACACTCCAACATATAGGCACAACTTAATAGGACCCCTAAAGCTCAGGAAATAATGCCACAATAGTTAATATATGAGATGGCATCAGAGTAAAAAGCTTGTGTACAGCAAAGAAAACAATTAGGAATGTAAAGAGAAAAGCTGTAGAATGGGAGAAAATCTTTGCCAGCTACTGTTCTGACTAGATTAGTATCTAGAATATATAAAGAACTCAAAAACTTCACACCAAAAGAACAAATAACCCAATTAATAAATGGCCAAATGAATTAAACACATGCTTCTCAAAAGAAGAAATACAGATGGCTAACAAATATATGAAAAAATTTTCAGTATTATTGTCAATTAGGAAATGCGAATCAAAACTAGACCAAGACTTCATCTCATCAGACTGAATGACAGTCATCAAGAATACAAGTAACAATAAATGTTGAAGAGGATATGGAGGAAAAGGAACACTTTTACACAGTTGGTGGAATTGTAAATTAGTACATCCACTATGGAAATCAGTCAGAGGTTTCTCAAAAGACTTGGCTTATGACCCAGCTATACCACTTAGTATTTATCCTAAAGAATTAAAGTCATCCTACTACAGTGATACCATCCTACTACAGTGATACATGCATACCCAAGTTTATAAGAGCACAATTCACAATAGCCAAAAGAAAATGTGGTATATGTACACAATGGAGTTTTATTCATCCATAAAGAAAAATGAAATTATGTCATTTGCAGGAAAATGGATGGAACTAGATATCATATTAAATACAATAAGTCAAACTCAGAAGGTCAAGGGTTGAGGAGGCTAGAAAGGAAAAAGGAAAAGAAAAATGGGAGTGGATCTCCTGAAAATCAAGGGGAGATCAGGAGAGGAAAAGGGACCACGGAGTGGGAGATGGTGAGGGAATAGGGAAGTGCTGAGGAGGTATGTTGGTCAAATTATATTGTTACATTGTATGTATGAATGAATATGTAACAGCAGATCCCATCTTTATGTGCAACTATAATGCACCAATAAAAAATTGGGGGAAACTCCCCTGCTCCCTGCTGCTTTAAAAATCTGCTAAGCTTGACATGGTGTCACATACCTTATTTCCTAGCTACTTGGGAGGCTGAGGCAGTCTCTACTTGAACCCAGGAGTTGGGGGACCAGTCTAGACAAAGAAGATTGTCTCAAAATCTCAAAAAAAAAAAAAAAAAGAAAACTGAAAATAAATAAATGTGCTAAATTTCAAGGAAAATGAAATTTTCTCTCAGTTTAAAATGTCATTCATATTTTTTAATTTATTGTTACAAATGTGTTTCATAGAAAAGAAACTGAAGTTATCCAAATAAATCTTTATTTTTTGACCCCTGTTCCACATCCTTCCAGATCTCAGCTCAGTGCTGGGGAGGTATGTTGGTCAAATTATATTGTTACGTTGATTTGCTGGAAGCAGCACAGTTCTGCTGTTGATCTAGGTCATCCAGTAAAGCCGTATTGCTTTCACTTGGGTCTTTTCTTGAGCCCAACTGGAATGTCTTCTTCTCTTCTTTCTCCTTCATGTTGATTCTGTGATTTTGATGTTTTAGTACAAGATATTATTTTTTATAATCTATTTGCAAAGCTGAAATCCAAATTCTAACATTAGCATATTTAATAATAATAATAATAAATAAATAATTCTGGTATTAGCATGTTAATTGGCTTTGAATTACATCAATCTATATTAATTTCAAGGTTCCGGCACTCCTAGAAAATAAAGTTAAAGAGAAGACTTGTTCTGATTCAGAAGATACTGGAAGCTCTGAATGCTCTGACGCAGACTCTGAAGAGGAGGGAGACCGTGCTCACTGCAAAAAGCACCCCACTGACCCCGACATTGATAAGAAGGTTGGCCAAGAACTTTAATTCCCCTTTTCTTCAGTGTGTTAGCACAGCTGCTCTTATTTCTCTTTGTTAAGGATATAGCTAGATTATGATGACTGAAAATATTGATAGTAACTCTAATGATACTTTTCAATAGCTAAGTGTGAACTTTGCTTTTGAGGGTTAGAGAGACCAGGATGCTATTAGGAGCTCCTTGCATAGAAAGAAGACATATCTCTTTCCAGCGTTTATTTCCATTAAAATATGGAGCTTGAAAAGAAAAGTCCTTGTAAACTTTTAGTAACATCCACAGAGATATTTGTTAGGTTGTCTTAAATTTCTGTTAAAGCTCAAAGACAATTTTTACCCAAAGTTCCACCACCAACCTATAATCATTTTCATTTTTTAAGATATACTCACTTTTATCCTTTCACATGAGTTTTCATTTAGTTGTAATAATAATATGCATACTCCAAAAGAATGAAGTTTATTTTTGTTTGTTTGTTACAGGAAAGAAAAAAGATGGTAAAGGAAGCCCAGAGAGAGAGAAGGAAAAACAAAATCCCTAAACATGTGAAAAAAAGAAAGGAGAAGACAGCCAAAACCAAAAAAGGCAAATAGAGTGAGAGCTCTATCGTGTAGTCATTTTCCTTCAGCTGCTTTCTCACCTGAACTCGGAGCTGCAGCTGGAAGATGGCTTCTTGATTTTAACCGAGTAGTTATTATGGCACCATTTGTGAAGACTGATTTGAATGTTTTTCCTGTAATTATGTAAAAAGCCCTAAGTTCTCATGTCCAGATCCAGTCACTGACACTGTCTGGTATTGACAGAGGATTTGTCTAAGCTACTATTTTAATGAAGAACTTGGTACATTTTTATTTTTATATTTTTTTCTCTTGCAAATCTGTTTTTAGAAGTATCATAAAATATTTAAATATTCCATGACCTTTATGTCAGTATAAAGGCACTTTAGACAAACTTGGGAAAATCATTTTTGCTTTCTTTATACTTGCCAAAAACATCTGAAATCATTTGGTTATAAGGCCATGGTTTATATAAAAGGGAGCTTTGCTCATAAGAAAATTCAGTTGACCACTGATGTAATCATTCACTGCAACTCTGTTCTTGGATAGGAGAGAGAAAGCCTGTGGAGGTGTGAGGGTTTGCAATTCAAAATAGGTTTCTTGGGTCATGCGTGGTGGTGCATACCTGTAATCCCAGAAGTTTGGGAGACTGAGGAAGGAGGATCACAAGTTCAAAGCCAGCCTTGACAACATAGTAACCCTGTTTCAAAATAAAAAGGGCTGGGGATATAGCCCAATGGTAAAGTGCCCCTGGATTCATTGTCTAGTACCACATGGAAAGGGAGGGGGGTGACTTTGGGGCTGGGGTGTGTAGCTCAGAGGTAGAGCTCGCCTAGTATGTGTGAGTCCTTGAGTTTTATTCCTAGCACTAACAGAAGTGGGGACGGGTGATTTCTTAGGCCATATTATTGAGAGGTGATATTTGAACAAGTACTTAAAAGAATCTGAATCAGGTGCATGTCAGGAGAGAAAAGCATTCCAGACAAAGTGAAGATACAGGGAGAAAGTAGTAGATGAGTTCAGGTAGTGTAAGGCTATAGGAGAGTTTTGAGCAGAGGAATGGTATGATCTGACTTCTGTCTTAAAAGGATCACTCTGGCCTCTTGAAGCCAGATCAGAAAGCAAGGGTGGGAGGTGGTTGGGTATGTTTGTTGTGGTAACCCAGGTAAGAGATGCTGATGGCTTGGTCTAGGATGGTAGCAGTGGATATGGAGAGAAGGAGTTGGATATGCTAAGGGAATAGTTGAGGAGTAGGAGAGAAAGAGTGAAGGGTGACTTTGGGGTTTATGACCTAAGAAGCCACTGAGCTAATTGTAGTTGCTACTTAATTGATGGGAAGAAATGTAGGTGGAGCAAGCTTGGGATAGGAGAGAGAAAGAAAAAATCTTATATCTCAACACTGTGCAAATATTGAAATTATCAGGTTCAAAAAATTTATTTTTCCATACTTCATGTTTAAATTAAAAAGGGCTATTTTAAACATTGCTTTCAGAAACTTTCTATATAAAAGTTAGTTTCCCTTAAACCTGTACCTGTTTGTTTGATGGTGGATTATTGAGGGGAATCAATGGAGCTCTTAAAATTGAAGTCCAATTTTATTATATTCAAAATAATCCTCCCTCCCTGACCTTAAAGTTCAAAATATGAAACACAATTTCAGTGAAACAAAAAAGTAGTCCCTTTAAAATAGTCCACAGTGAACATAACAAGAAAATCCAAGAACAGTGTGAGCAACCCTGTATACATTTGGGAAGTTCATCTTCATGATCTTACAGTTCTTATGATTCCAACATGGTTGTTCACATCAAGTGGGTAATTTCTTAGGCTGCCTTTTGCTCAATCTAATGTGCTTTCTCAGTGGAATTAATTCCACTTGACCAAAAGTTAATAGGATTGAGGGAGCAATTCATTGTCTTACATTGCTGTTGGGAGGAAATGGCTTATAAAACATCAAGATTTGGAAGCGCAGGGATGTTCCAACCTGAGAGCCATTTTTCTGATAACCTGTCACTGCGATGGCTGTTTCCATTTGTGTTCTGAGCCAGAAGACTATGACTGAGTGATAAGCAGTGATACTAGTGTTGCCAAACTTGTCTGAAGATAAATTTCCCTTGTTCGTGCTCATCAGAAGGCTTGGGTATAGGAACCTAATTTGTAGGCAAACAAAACTACTGATACAGCCTACTTGTTGACTTTGATTACTATTGAATTTTGATTGCTTGGCCATTGGGTTTTGGTGTTAATGGATTGTTGGCTATACAGTAACTGTCCATTTGGAAGGATGAGGTTTGGGTCTTTGGGTGCAATGTTAAGGACATAATTTTGCCAATTGCAGATGTATCTGATTTTTTCTATCATTTTACTAATTTCTCATTCCTCCAAATAATGCAGATGTTTTTAAAAGTTCCTAGGAGAAATCTGGTTAATTTCTTTGAAGCATGAAGTCACACCACTTTCCTATGCTGCTGTCATTCTCAGTCTTCCACCAATAAAGCAGTTTGGGGACAGAACTTTGCTCAGTCTGGAGGTTCCGTCCTCTGAGTATGATCTTTGAGTGAAGGGGGATGGGGAGGAAATAGAGCAGCTTTTTGCTGAAGTCTGGTCAAGCATGATTCTGTGGTTCTTGGCTCACATCAAATTTTCTTCAGCTTTATGACTTAATGAAGATGGACTCAAGATGTTGAAAACTTTATAGTGTGGTACAAAGAGTTCTTTGAGAACTTCTCTCCTTCCATGAGTACTCTGTTTAATTCTGTACTAGGGAGATTGTTCCTTGGCCTATCCTATTTTATGGTTGTGATCTCATTAAACTTTTGGCTCAGAAAATGAAGAGATGAAATAAGAGATGCAAAACCTTTTCATTTTCAAAACCTTGACAGGTTTTCTAATTTTCAGTTGTCTATGCACATTAATAAAGATCTTGAACAGAAGAACTTGCTTTGATTTCTGAGGTTGACGATGGAAGAGTTGTAAGGATCAGCAACAAGAGCAGGTTCTACTTGAGTGTAGCTACCTGTGAAGACTTTTTGTGGCCACATAGAAGGGATAAGTTTTCACCTATGGGGCTCATAAACCAGAGCACTTCACTTATTCTATCCCTCAAATTGATTGGGTTATTATATTCATGACATTTCGGCTGGAGTTTTTAATTTTTGTACTTTTTGAGTTTGTATTTCCTTGAATATGAAGGCTTCTAGAAGTGATCCAGGGGAAACTACAATGTTGGATATCAGACATTTAAGCTGGTTTCCTAAGGAAGAGATTGTTGTTAAATCTGTGCCTACAGAGATTTTAATCCCAGTTGGTGGGATTGTGGAAGGCCCTGGATTAGAATTTGGAAACCTGGGACTGCATTTGTGGATTTATTGACTTTGGTTTCCAGCTTGCTTTAATTTTCTGTGCCACTCCAAATCTTTGTGCTTTGGTTGCTGGTTGGTCATGGTCATGAGACAGCCCTGTGCAAGTGAGACTAGCCACACTGCCACATAGTCCTTTTTTTTCCCTTTTTTTTTCAGGAGGGCAAGGGGGTCTTCTGACATGAGCAGAGCTATTTCCAATTCTCTGAGATAGAGTTTCCATGTCTTTAGTGCTGCTTAAACACTGATCAGCTTTTATCTTCAGATGAACCTTCAGCCCGTGCACATTCTGCAGAGTCATCTTGGAGCCCTATAATTCAGCAGTGAAAAGTGATGGCAGGTCCTCTGGGGCCAAAACATTGTTGGAGTCTGATTGCTACAGTGCTAAGCTGGAGAAGCAAGATTGCCAGTGTTAAGCCAGAGAAGCAGGAGGTCAGAATAGGGGTTTAAGGTTGCTGTACAAAGAGAGGGTCGCCCTTGCTGGGAGTGGTCAGGAACAAGTGACTGAGGTGGAATAACAGATAAGCGCATTGAAGGCAAGAGAATCAGACACCTGGCCTGGGGTTGGAAAGGGCATCTGTGTTCTCATAGGCATGATGTGAGAGTCACTGAAAGACCCTGGGAGTCAGAGGAAGTAGGCGGGGGAGGGGCAGCATGGAAGCCTGCATTGCAGAAGGGAAGTGAGTGGCCCCTGAGGACATGACACAGGGTACTTGCTAGAGAGCCAGGGGAAAGGGAACTATCAGAAAATGCAGGGATAAAAAGCTTTTTGTTAGTGTCTGACCATGAGTTGGAAGAGGACTGTGGGGTAGTTTCAGGGATTAGAAGAATAGGAAAGGAAGTCTGTTTTTTACTTAACTTGAATTGCAGATCCTCTTAGGAGGGGTTGGGTGTATCAATTTCTCAGATCCTAATGCCATTCAGGATGCTGTAACCACTGTGGAGATAGGGGTACCTCTGTACTTAGATGTAATCAGTGGTTTATAGGACACAGGAACAGGGTACATGTTACTAGGAGGATACAGTCAACCAAATTCAGAATAAGGGAAAGACCATAAGAAAGGTCGGTGTGTTGGCTCATGCCTGTGATTCCCAGCAACTCCGAAAACTGAGGCATGAGGATCTCAAGTTCAAGGCCAGCCTTAGCAACTTAGTGAGATCCTAAGCAACTTAGTAAAACCTTGTCTCAAAATTTTAAAAATGAGACTGGTGATGTAGCTTGGTAGTATAAAGAGCCCCTGGGTACAATGTCCAGTACCAAAAGCAAAAGAGGAACTATTATTTTAAAAGCTGCAGAAGGCTAAGGCACATGTATCCAAATGCTATAAACTTTATTTTGATCCTGGCCAAATTATGAAAAATTGGGATGGTTTTTTAATACAAGAAGGAAAGCTGAAAATGAAATAGGTATTATGACAGTAGGGAATTGTTTGTTTTGTATAATACATGATACTGTAGTTAGATTTTTTCAATTGTCTTATTTTTTTTAATTGTGAATATCTGGAATTACTTTAAAATACTTCATCCCTCTTTCTAAAACAAAGTGGTGATAGATAACAAAATTGGTAGATCATTAACTGCTAAAGCTAGGTAGGGAAGTCATTATACTATTTTCATGATTTTTGTGTATAAGAGTTCCTGTAAGAAAAAATTAATTTTAAAGAGATAAAGCATATTGAGCACTTAACAGGGATTTTGTAAGTAGTACTACATTACACAGTGTCTGTGTATTTGTTATTTCACTTTTTAACTAAACTTCTTTTGCTCTGGTATCAAGATTTAACCCCATGGGCTAGCAAGGTAGGTCAGCAGAATGGTAATGCCTTCTGGTGCTGGCCTAGCTCAGTGTTAACGGTTTGTATCTTAAATGTCTCCCAAAGGCCATGTGTTGAAGGTTTGGTCCCCAGCTGATGGAGCTGTGGGGCTGGCGCAATGCATAATGGGAGGAAGCAGGTCATTGAGGGCATGTCCTTGAAGGGGATATTGGGACCCTGGCTCCTTCCTCTGTTTCTTTGCTTCCTGGCAACCATAAGGTGAGTGACTTGGCCTTGCCATGTGCTCCCCACAGACCCCAAAATAACAGAGCCAATCTACCCTGGACTGAACCTCTGAAACTGAACCAAAGTAAACATTTCCTTGCCTCCAGTACTAAGGATTAACCCAAGCAGGTAGGCAGGCGCTC